TGCGGGTGCAAAAGCAGGGGTAGACCAGGCCGCGCGCCTCCAGGCGGCGCAGCGCCGCGCCGTAGGCGGCGAAACGCTCCGACTGGCGCAGCACCGGATGTTCCCAGGACAGGCCCAGCCAGGCCAGATCCTCGTAGATCTGCGCCTCGAACTCCGGGCGGCAGCGGCCGAGGTCGATGTCCTCCATGCGCAGCACGAAGCGGCCCCGCGGTCCGGCCGCCCGCGCGGCGAAGAGCGCGGAGTGGGCGTGACCGAGGTGCAGCCGCCCGCTGGGCGAGGGCGCGAAGCGGGTCACTTCGGGCGCGGGGGCCGGCCCGGTGTCGGAGCTGTCTTGGCGGGTCTGCTGGCGCATGTTTCGGATGGGCGCGCTGGCCTCGAAGCTGGGATAGTCTGCTCGCCATGAAGACAGACAAAGCTTTCGCCGTCACGCAAGAGACGCTGCCCGAGGCGCTTGCGGCGCTGGCCCGCGCCGACCCCGACTTCGCCCGCGCGCGGGCGGAGGTAGGGCTGCCGCCCCTGCGCTACCGCCCGCCGGGCTTCGCCACCCTGCTGCGGATCATCGTGGCGCAGCAGGTCAGCCTGGCCTCGGCCCAGGCGATCGCCGATCGCCTGGCGGCGGCCTGCGAGCCCATCACGCCGGCGCGCTTCCTGGCCCTCAGTGACGAGGACCTGCGCCGGGTCGGCCTGTCGCGCCCGAAGCAGCGCTACGCCCGCGCCCTGGCCGCGCAGCTCGACAGCGGCGCCCTGGACCTGACGGCGCTCGAGGCCTTGGACGACGAAGCGGCGATCGCCGCGCTCTGCCGGGTCAAGGGCATCGGGCGCTGGTCGGCGCAGGTCTACCTGCTGTTCTCCCTGGGCCGACCCGACGTGTTTCCGGCCGACGACATCGGCCTGATGGGCGGCGCCCAGCTACTCAAACGCCTGGAGACGCGGCCGGACCGGCGTGAGCTCGAACGCCTGGCCGAGCCCTGGCGCCCCTACCGCGCGGTCGCCGCGCGGATGCTCTGGCACTACCGCCGCCAGGCCGAGGCCATTCCCGACGACTGGGGCTGACGGCCGGGGTCGCGGCGCGCGGGCCGGGGGCCCCCGCGTGGTGCCGAAAAGCCGTCCAACCGGATAAAGGGCTGACGTGCCGCGGCGCATGCAGTAAGACTCCGCGCCCGGAACCGAAGGGATGGCGATGACGACGGCAAACGCGGACATCACCCTCGACGGCCCGCGCGAGGGCCCACGCAGCGGCGGCACGCCCCGCCAGCTCGTGGTGCTGCTGCATGGCCTCGGCGCCAACGGCCAGGATCTGATCGCCCTGGCCCCGGTGCTCGGCACCGTGCTGCCGGATGCCGTCTTCGTGGCGCCCGACGCGCCCAGCCCCTGCGACATGGCGCCCTTCGGCTATCAGTGGTTCAGCCTGCAGGTGCGCACCCCGGAGTCGCTCTACGTCGGGGCCGAGGACACCCGCCCGCTGCTCGACTCCTTCCTCGACGCCGAGCTGGCCCGCTACGGCCTGGGCGACGAGGATCTGGTGCTGGTCGGCTTCAGCCAGGGCACCATGATGGCGCTGCACACCGCCTTGCGCCGGCGCCGCGCCTGCGCCGGGGTGATCGGCTACTCCGGCCTGCTGGTCGGCGGCGAGCGCCTGGAGCAGGAGATCGTCAGCCGGCCGCCGGTGCTGTTGGTCCACGGCGAGCGCGACGAGGTGGTCTCGCCGCAGGCCCTGCCAGCCGCCGTCGAGGCCCTGCACAAGGCCGGGGTGTCGGTGTCCCACGAGCTTCGCCCGGAGCTGGGCCACGGCATCGACGAGGCCGGCGTCGCTGCTGCCGCCAGCTTCCTGCAGGACCTCTTCGCGCCCGTCGAGGACTAGAGCGATGCCCGACCTGATCGAATCGC